AAATACAAAAGCTAAAAAAATATAAAAACACAAAACTGTTAAGAAAAGTACGATAAACAGTTTTTGATGCAAAAAAAAAAAAAAAATGAAAGAAACATTGGGATTTACTAAAATACTTTTTTAGCTGCAATACATTAAAACCAGTAAGAGGCTTGAAAAAACGGTATTAAATAAAGCTACTTATTAAAAGTTTTAATTCGATGTTGCTAGGCAATAAAAAATTAACTGCCAATTTTGCTAAGTATTGCTTTTTCACGGTTGGCGGAATTTAGCACATTTTAACAAAACCAATATAATGCAACAAATTAAAAAACAAACTAAATAACTTCTTTAGATAAAAAAGTAAGTAAACCATAAAATTAGTAAAACTTTAAAACCAACACATTTATTTAAATGGAAGTGATATTTTTTTAAATGGAGTGCTTACTCCCTCTCCCGTATATACGGGCCTTTGTATATAACTTATAACTGGCTACACCAAAAATTTAATTTTTTTCTGTCGATTTTCAGAAAACATTTGGTGATGTATCATCGTTTAAAAGAAAAAAAACTATTGTAGATTGAGTTAAATTAATTTATTAGGGTTTTGCACGTATTTATAACAAAGTTTTGATTCAATTTTTGGAAACGACTTTGATAATTTTACAATTGAATCGTTAATAAGCTTTAGTTTCGGCAAACATTCTTTTGCGGTCACAAACTTTTTGTCTCTAAAATCAATTGTCATTCAAAGCGTCATAAATCGATCAAAATCGAGTTTAATAAACCAATGTAAACATACCGATGTTTGTTTTAGTTTATAAAACTTTACAGCGGATAATAAAACAAACAAAAAATATCAAAATTGCGGAAATAATTTATAGATCTTCAAATTATTTTCATTATTATGTTGATTTTTTTTATTATATTAAAAAATTAGCACAAGTTTTTCTAGATTTAAATAGGCAGTGTAATTTAATCTTTTTTTAAAGACCTTTTTAATTTAAGGTGGTCGTCTATTAAAATAAATATATAAATATAAATATTATATTTATATGTGAAAAAAAAAAAAAAAAAAAACTTTTTATAACGTTATTAAATGCTGAATCGGGAAAAATATTCTTAAAACATCGTCTTCTTAAAACATCGTTTTCTTAAAACATTGTTTTCTTAAAACGTCGTTTTCTTAAAGGATGAAAAATATTTAAGCAATTTTTTTTTTTTTTTTTGCATTTTAAAGTTTTTACTCTCAAAATTTGATATTCATTTTGATGATTCATATTTGATTTTGCATTCAACATTTGCCGGATTAAGGGTCTTGGGGCCGGGAGCAAAATAATATTTGGGGCCCATTCCTAAAAAAATGTATTTAAAAATGAACGCAAACATTACTTTTTTGTTTACAGAGAAACTTTTCTTGCTTTTATATTTGCAATATCAATTACGATATCTTGCACTTTTAACAGTGTTCTTTCACATTGTCATTAAACAAAGAGCATTTAAACAATCATTTAGCATTGAAGAACAGAGATCATTTTTAATTATTACCATTTTTGAAAATGCTCTTTCTGCAGTACATTTGGTTATGGGAAGGGTAAGAAAAATCCGTTATGCGATGTCAACATTTTTAAAATTTTGTTTTGAATTTCCGCTTAAGTATTTTCTGTCCATTAATGTCCAGTTATTGATCTTAATTTATAACTCATTAGTGGTTAAAAAAAAAAAAAAAAAGAAGTAAAAAAACTAATATTTCAAAAAATATATAAAATATTTCAATACATATTTACCAATAAATATAAGTAAATAAAAAAACAAATAACTATTGAATTAAGTGATATTATTTGTTACCGAATTAATAAAAAATTCAAATCAAAATGTAGTCAATTCGCACTTCTCAATAATTGGTTAAACAGTTTTGCATTTAACTTGTATTTGTTTATTTAACTTTTTCAAGTAAGTAAAAAAAGACTATTGTTCAAAACTTTTTCCAATATAGTTCAAAGGTGTTCAAGTTCGAATTTTTTTTATTACATGAGAAATTAATGAAGTTAATTTGATTAAAAATTATCGAAATTAATTTAATTAAAAATTAATTAAATTAATTTAGAATGTCAAGTCATAAATATTACAGCAAATATGATAAGTTAAAAATCGGAGACCCCGCTTCTATCCTAATTCTTGGGGGCCGGGCGCCTAGGCTCCCAGGAACCCGGGTTATTCCGATATTGCATTCAACGTTAGGCTTTGGAAATCTAAAAAATGTTCTGCAACGATCTAAATTTAGAATTTTTATCAAGGAGCCAATTTGTAACAATCACGTCATTAAAAATTACGTATTAAATCAAAAAATTGTTACTTACAAGTATACGAGAGTATACAAATTTTTTTGAGTCAAAAAATTGTTATTCACTAGTATAAGACAGTATATAAATTTGTTCGCAACTGTACTCAAATTGCTCAAGAGGCAAAACATTGTCACTTTGTTTTTTTTCAAGGATTTATAATCTTAGTAAGCCATTTCTAATTAGGGTAAAAGTGAAACCGATTATACCCTAATAAGAAATGGCTTTTAAAACATTAATTTATAATAATTTGCTTTTTTCAGAAACGGTGGATAAAAAAAAATGCGGCTTCACCTTTTGTCAATAAAAATCCCGCAAGTTAGACATCCAGTATATATATATATATATATATATATATATATATATATATATATATATATATATATATATATATATATATATATATATATATATAATATATATATATATATATATATATATATATTATTTTAAAACATCAAAAATACGATTTCTCTCAACACTTATAATTTTTTTATTATTATAGAAATTTTCGCTGGATTTTAGATACCAGCTTCTTCAGCTTGTTAAATGTTACAGTAATAATAGTTATAATTTAAATTAAAACGTTGCTATTGACTTAAGATCCCTGTTAACATCACAAAATAAATCAAAATTACCTAATAACAGTCAACCAGGAACATATATAATCAAATGCAACTGTTCAAAAGTGTATGTAGGCGAAACAAAAATGAAAGTAAACACACGAATGCATCAACACCAAAAATGCATTGATGAAAATAAGCAACATCAATCTGCATTAGCTCTGCATAAAACATTTTGCAAAAAAGAAATTATTTGGGAACAAACAAAAACATTGAAAGTAGAAAATAAAAAAATTTGAAAGAAAGTTAGGGGAGCCCTAGAAATACAAAAAAACATGTGTTCTGCAAAAAATGGCGGGATTAATCTCGATGAGGGTCAATACGTAAAAACTAAGTTTGGGACGCCATTTTTTAAATTTCAGCGAAAAAGAAGCCATTCAACCGCTGACGTCAATAGCAACGTTTTAATTTGAATTATAACGGTTTACTAATTACTGTAACATTTAACAAGCTGATTAATCAATCAATCATATATATTCTGAAAATAAATTTTCAAGGCTATTTACAAATAGTATTGAAATACTAATCTCAAGTAAATACCTAAAAAAAAAATTATATATATACAATTAATCTTTGTAATGATAATATTAATAGTAGTAATAATAATAATAACAATAATAATAAAGTAATTGTAATAATTTAAATAAATCGGTATTACTTTCCATACAGCAATCATTATTACATACAAAGCTACAGTACAAACAGCAATAAACTGACAAAACGTAACAACTAACAATGACATAAAAACGACTACTGCTAAAAAAATTATCAAGATTTAGTAAATATATTAATATAATCATAGTTTTTAAAATATAATAATCAAAATATATTGCAAATGTTATGACCAAATAAATAAATAAAATATAAACAGAAAAACACTGAGGAAATCAAAACAAAACAAGTTACAACAAACATCACGAAACAAAACAAAAACTATGCAAAATAAATAAAACAAACAACAACAAAAAAAACTTAAAATTAAAAAAAATAATTATAATACACGGTAGAATTAAACATATATAATAAATAGCTAAAATGAAAGTAAAAACAAATAATATATAATTGTATAAAAAATTTATATACCACTAAAAAAAAAGTAAAACTATAATATAGTATATAGTCTATATACGCTAAAAAATTGAAGAAAAATAAATAAATAATACTAAGAAATGTATGAAAGAAAACTAAAAAAAGTATGTAAAAATAAATAAAAATCTTGATTTGCCGATTGAGGTTCCGCTTTTTAAATGTTTTTTTTTTTCATTTTTTGCCATTGTTTTTATATATTTCATTCATTAACTTTTTTTTTTTTAACTTTTATTTTCGTTACTTTTTCACTTATTTTCTTTCAAACATTTCTTTTTCTTTTCTTCCTTTAAACGATTTATTTATTCTTCTTTTTTGTTGATTTCATTTTTATTTTAATTTATAAATGTTTTCTTTTCTTTTTTACTTTTTAAAAAGATATTTTCAACGGTTTGAAAAAAGCGTCCACCATTTGCGATGTCATTGCAAAGCCGAAAAAGTTTACCTGAAGAAGCTGGTATCTAAAATCCAGCGAAAATTTCTATAATAATAAAAAAATTATAAGTATTGAGAGAAATCGTATTTTTGATGTTTTAAAATAATATATAAATATACTCTCACACAAGATGTTATCCTTTAAACCATATATATATATATATATATATATATATATATATATATATATATATATATATATATATATATATATATATATATATATATATATATATATATATATATATATATATATATATATATATATATATATATATATATATATATATATATATTAAACTATTATTACATATTTAGACATATATTTTAAATCAAAAAGCGCTAGCCTTTTTTTTTCTGATAAAACAAAAAATATGATATTCTAGTTTTATTTTTGTAGAAATTTTCCGCCCTTCCATACATACTCGTCACGCTGGTGCCTTTTATTGACGATTTATGAAGTATTTGTTGATATTTGTGTTTTAATTCAAGTGACTTAAAATCATCCTATTTACTTATGTTTCTCGCTCAATGTATTTTAATATCAAATACAACCAGATAACATAACTGCTTTCATATCTATTTAGGCGCTATTGTAATAAATTTTGCAAGTACAATTATGCTAAATTTAAAAAGAGCAAATTTTAGAAGCGCAACTTCAAGCTCATGAAAAATAGATATTGAACCTAAATAAAATAAAGAACATGGTAAAGGAAAAGCTATAGCGTAAGAAATTTATTTTTAATTTGTCTTTTCAACTAGAAGTGATTGAACAAATTTCTCTATAAATATCTTTCATATGCTTTTAGTAAAACAAAAAATGAGTTGGACATTCTTCACTTCAATACTTTCAACAAGTATCAACGTATTTCTTATTATTGTAGGGATCGCTGGAAATTTTTTTATCCTTATAATGATTGTAAAGAAAAAGAAAACTAATGATTTAACAAACTATTTTATATTTAATTTATCATTGGCTGACTTGGCAATATCCGTCATTGTCATTCCACTAAGTTTAGCTTACACTAACAAAACTTGGATTCCCAGAGAATGGGATTGCTTTTTTGTTATGCCAGTTTTAGAGCACTTTGCTGGTGTATGTGTACTTACTCACACTGCCATTAGCATTGTAAGATATATGGTTGTTTCTCAGAGAAAAATTGTTCAGGTAATTAAGCTTAAACACATTGTGTTTTTTATATTTTTAATATGGCTAATATCCTTTGTTATTTTATCTGCAACTTTAATGGGCGGACTTGGTCAATTTATTATTACGCACACAAACACTGGCAACACAAAAAATTCAAGTGCATGCGAAATCCATTTTTATAATAACCGAAGTCGCAAGATAATTTATTCAATTATGATATTTTTGCTTACGTATGTTTTACCTATGGTATGTACTGGGTTTTCCCACTATCAAATTTATAAAGTGGTTTCCAAAAACGCTAAATTCATTAGAGGCCATGTTACAAAAGACTTACTTGTATCTAGAAAACGTATATCAAGGCGTTTGAATCGTATCCTTTTAACAATGTATATATTTTTCGGAAGTACAACATTGCCTATTCAAGCCTTATATTTTGTGACTGGAATTATAAATTTTTCTTCTAATGAAACGTTCAACTATATTTGGCAAGTGTCTTTTCCGCTGTTTTATTTACAAGTCGTGACAAACCCCCTCGTACTTTTATACATGAGAATCGAGTACAGAAAAGAGTTATATAAAGTTTCACTTTGTTTTTCAAACTTTTTTAACCTTAAATCAAGATTTAAAACAAACATTAAAATTAAAAAAAAAAAGCAACAGTTTAAAGCTATTTCATCAAACAGAGCTATAAAACTGTTTTATTTAAAAAAAAAGAAAAAAACAGTCCAGGTGCGATCGCTTCATGGCAATAAGAAAAAAGAAATAAAGTTTAATTTTTTAAAAACTGAAAAAATTTTTAATGCAGAAGATAAAGCATTTTTTCATACTTCACTTGATTCAATAAAAGAAACGTTTTTGTAAATATTTGGATTTTATAGATAAATGCATATTCGTCAATTAATTTTTTTTATATTGAATGAGCTAGTTGTAACTAAAATTTTAGTATTCATTGTGGTAAGTTAACTCAATAAAACTAGTTCAAACTTTAATTTGTTATATATATATATATATATATATATATATATATATATATATATATATATATATATATATATATATATATATATATATATATATATATATATATATATATATATATATATATATATATATATATATATAGATGTGTATATATATACATAAGGTTTTGCAAGTTTTGCACTGTTGAAAGGTTTTGCAACTTTTTTAAATTTTGAGTTAGCACACACTGTGATTATTATAAAGACAAAAACGCCGCAGTGTGTAATAAATTATTCATTGAATAACTGTATTCATTTCTATTATCCTTTTTATTTCTATTCATGTTTTATTTATAAAACTGTATTTCGAAACCAATTTGAATATTTCGTAAAAGTATCAAAATAATATACTCAGATAACAATGGTTATATATAAATCAGGCCTTTATGAAAACTATATATATAAATATATATATATATATATATATATATATATATATATATATATATATATATATATATATATATATATATATATATATATATATATATATATATATATATATATATATATACATATATATGGTTAATGGTATATACTATGCATAGTATATATGTATGGTTTTAAACCATTCATATATACTGTTTAAAAAAACATATATGCATAGTATATATGTATTTTTTAAATAAATGTATAACTTTGTCGCATCAAAGTTTTAGAATCAATATTGTTATTTTTTGTTAGCAACAAATTTTTTGTAATATAAAAAATAATTTTTTTTTTAATCCAAATAAATATTTTTTTTTTCTAATAAACATAACGTCTAAAAAGAACTTTGTGTTCTATAGTATAAACATATATAAGGTCTATGTGTTCTATAGTTGTTCCGAAATTTTTAAAGTAAACCTAATTACAGAGAATATTCCCAGAAATAAATATATATTGTCATTACTTATTGCAATTATTAAACCCTGACTTATATCAAATAACATGAACAAATCGCAACATTTTTTTGAGTCAAAATTTGTAGAAATGACAATGTTTATCAAATAGATTGCACTATTGGATGATCGCATCGCATGATGAAAAAAGATAATGACAAAATTACAAATATGAAAATGCCTGAAGATGAAAACACATGTTCATTCCAAATAAGAATGATATTTACTATTAGAATGAAACTTTTTTCCCAACAGAAAACATTCGATTGCTGGTAAGGAAAAGAAGACAATACATTGGTGTTATTTTCACTGATATTCGCACCAATGACAAGCAAATGGCTGGTAATTTAGGCATTAAATCAGAGCTACAGGTAGCATAGTGGGCTGACCATAATAATTATCTCATTTTTTTAAATACATTTTTAAACTTTAACACAATAAGTTTTTCTTACTAATAATGCTCACTTGTCGTATAAATGTCAAGTCATTGCATTGTCTTCACACTCTTTTTAATACTTTTTATAGTTTTAATTAGCCTCACAATTATTGTTTTTTCTCTCTACTACTTAAACTGTAAAAGAAAAAGGTTTACAAGCAACATTGCAAGCAATAATTTGTTATATAATTGCTATAAAAAAAAGTTTGTACTAATATTGAGGTTTTAAGTTACTTAACTTAAAACCTAAATATTAGGCCATGGATAAAAATATTTTTTTTATCAGCTATAGGAGTAGAAATCGCTAAACGATTAATCGATTAATTGATTGATAATAGTTAAGCAATAATCGATTAGTTAACAAACCAACTATTTTTTATTTTAGAATATAACGTACTAATATTTCTTTTTATTTATGTTTTATTTTTATGATAACAATTTAGCGTTTTTTAATAACCAACAATAACTAATTTAATTTTACAGCACCGGTAAGAAATCTAAACAAGTAGTACATTTAGAGAGCGTCGATACAGTAGCCTGACCGCCATTTACAATATCGTTTCGAAAAAAATTCGATCAAATTTGTTTCAGAAAAGTCAGAGTCAGTGCCGTGCCAAAAGCCCCCCATACCCCCGGTTGGGGGGGCCTAGGAATTTGAAGGGGTCCTTTTTGAAAATTAAAATTATGATATAGGTGTTTTTTATTTTTTATAATATTAAAACTTCGTATTAACGTTTTTTATTATTCATTAGGACCAATCTGTGGCCTGGATCCGCCATTGATTGTATTGCTGAGTTAGTAGACGTTTTATTTTAGTAAAACTTTCGTTTAGAAAGTTTTGTTTAGATTAGTTTAAGTTAAATCTTATGAAAAAGATGCTTTGTATTACTAAATTAGTCTACGCAGCGCAAAGATACAGCTGCCGAATTTTAATTTAAAAAGAAATCTTTTGTTCAAAAGATTGCCTGCCCAGACCAAAACCCTCCGTCTATGTATGTACGTTACACTACACCAATCCCTAGATAGTCAGTTGATGTATACACACTCCAATTCGCCAATTTCTAGTCAGTAGACGTGTGTACACTAAACTGTGCCTACTCCTATATCAGTATACAAGTATATATTTGCAACCTATAAAAAGAAACAATCAGATTTTGCTACTTGCTGAATTCCGATTGGTTTATTAATAGTCACAATGACTATTAGTGACTTAGGCAAAAAAATTAAAGCAACAGTACCGTTGCGCTAGACACAGCGTTTAGTTAAATTACAAAACATCAAATTATTATTTGATTCCAATTTTTTTTTTTTCTTCATGCTTTTTAATTTTATCGATAAAATTTTAAAGGTTGACAGTTCTTAGGGGTGAGTTTAAAGGTTGACAGTTCTTAGGTGCGAGTGGGGCGGTGGGGAAGGAGTGATTTTAAAAACAAATTACCCCCTCCTTAACCGGGGGACGGGTTTGACGTGTTACAAGGACCCAAAACTTTTTTTTTTTGGGGGGGGGGCCACCAACTGTCTGGCACGGCACTGCAAAGAGTATACAACTTTTGTGAACTACCCTAGCTCTAAGAAGTAAAATTTAAAAATTTTTCAAGTGTAACCAATTCTTCAAAACAGTAATAGTTATAAATGTTGCTTTGTTGTATTTCCAGAAGCCAATCTAATTGAGTATAATTCACTTGAGTTTTATGGGTTTATTTCCTTAATTTAACTTTAAAATGTCGGGAAAAAAAAGTTTGTCTTGAAGTTATAAACATAAATACAGGTACTTATTTGTTCTCTATTTTTTTTATTCTAATCAGCTTTTTTTACTTTTTACTAAACAATGCACAGCCCGCACGTTTTTTTAGTGCGACATGTATTATTGTTTTATTAAAACCTCACTGTTGTATATGTGTAGTGATACTAAATAATAACTCATTATTATATAATGAGTATTCATACAGTAAAAACAACCTTTATGTAACTGGAAAGGTTTTAAATGTATAATGAATCGTCTCATATGTAAAACATGTTATCTTCTTGTTACTTACTTGCATTGTATAT